GTGATTGGCGACAATTAAGGAGTGATTATGTAATGTCTAAGAAACCATATGATTTTTGTCGATTGCATTACTTCCTCTCTTACCCATTTGAATTCAAAACATTCCCGATGATTTGAAACACAACCCATTATAGTTTTGATTGGGTTTGAAGCATACGTACCACAAATTAAAATGTATCTCTTATATATATATATATATATATATATATATACACGAACCCTCACGGCAAGTCGAACGTATCAAATCAACAACTCGAAGTCACTTCTCATCAAGCACATCAACTTCTCCAAATCTCCCATTTCTCACATCACACACACACACACACACATATATATATATATATAACCACTTATAAAACCCTAAATACCCACTTGGTGCAAACCACAAAAAACTGTCACACTACCAATGGAGAAGCTGCAAAAGATGGTATCAGAGAAGCCGGTGGTGATATTCAGCAAGAACTCGTGTTGCATGTCCCACACAATCAAGACTCTCTTCTACGATTTCGGGGTTAATCCGACGGTCTACGAACTCGACGAGATCGATAACGGCAGAGAGATGGAGCGAGCTCTGGCTCAGCTCGGCTGCAGCCCCACCGTTCCAGCGGTTTTCGTGGGCGGTCAGCTCGTCGGTGGAGCCAACCAAGTCATGAGCCTTCACCTTAACCGCTCTCTCATCCCAATGCTTAAAAGTGTTGGAGCATTATGGGTTTGAATCCACTGTGTAAACTCGTTTGGGTGTTGTCTTGTTCTGTAATAATGTTTTGGAAAGAGAGAAGAATAATGAATATGCACTTATGTGTATGTATTTTGTAACCTTTGGATGTCTTTTTATCTTATGTGGCAAAATCAATTTTACTCGTTATTTAGGTTTATATTACTTGATCTAAGTTTGGATGATCTAACGGTAAAAAAATATGTTTTTATCCGAATTCAAATATAAAAGTAGAGAGAATACGTAGAACAAAAAAAATTGGTGAATTTATAGATTATCAAAAAAAGTTTGTACTATTTGGATTATATATATAATATAGTTTTTAAAACATCGTACAAGAAATCAGCACGCCCAAGTTTGGGTGATTAAACTAGTGAATTTGATTATCTAAGGATGGTCATTTCGGTTATTAACCGAATAAGCGAGTGGAACCAAACCGAATAAGACAACCGTATCCAAACCGAACCCGACATCAAAACCGAACGGTTCTGATTTTTTTAAAATCGAAAAAATTGAAACCGAACCGAATAAAAAAATAACCGAAAAAACCGATAATTTCTTTGAAAAGATGAACTTTTTACCGAACCCGAACCGAAAAATAACCGAACCGAATCCAACCGAAATTTATATAAAAACCGAATGGTTATAGTTTTTCTATAACCGAAATAATTGAACCCGAATATAACCGAACTGAATCCGAACCAAAATCCGAATTGTTCAGGGTTACCATTACCAAAAAAAAACTAGGAATATAACACGCGTATACATTCACGCGCTACGCGTGCGCGTGCTCAAGAGTCGCATGATCATTGCAGGATGAAGCAACTAGGCCCACAATAATGTATTCGGCCCGATTTCTTCGATCACGAGCCCAAGTATGCCATTGCTCATACGCGATTATATATATACACATACACATTTTTTTTCCTTCTAATTTTATAATTAATTTTATATTGAGTTAAAAAATTTGATTAAAATATAAGTAAATTTTCTTATTTGGTTTATTTTAAACACATTGTTTAGTTCAATCTGTAGTCTGTACGATTAAATTTTATTCAATTCAATTTTAATGAATAAATTTTATTCAAAGTAATTTATGTTTTGGGGCAACTTCATAAATATTTGAATAGTTATGTACTTAGACATAAATAGGAAATGTTTGGGGTCGAATCTGTAAAGTACGGAGAAGTTTGGGTAAGAAGCGAGCAATTCAAGAGTTTTTAGGATTATTGACTTTTTATTTTTCTTTTTTATTTTAAAGTTTTCGCGGTTATATCCCCAAAATTCATCTTCTTGTCCTTATGCTCCTGCTTTTCATCTCTCTTCTTCTTCGAATCGATCACCGAATCTACAGCTCTGGCTCTTGATTCCGATTTCTTCCCCTCCTCTGGTCTCTCTTTCTCCTTTTCTGGCGTTCCATCAATGGTTCCCGAGTGATTCTGAGTTCTGGTAGGCAAGCCCTTGGAATCTTTATCTTCCTTCTCTCTATCCTCGCATAGACAGTTGATGTATGGTTTTGTTTATCCTAATAGATTTTGAAAATCATGGAGCTCTCTTCATGATTCATGCATTTCCGTTAAATTCTGGGAATAAATCATGGAATTGGATGTGAGAGAAGCGAATCAGTTTCAAAAAATTTCTAATTTTTTTTGGTTTTGTGGAACCTTTGAGTTCAGAATTCAAATTCAGAGCTCAATTTGGTGGGCATTTGATTATGTGATTCGAAGTGGCCCGAATCTCAGTCCAGCTACTTGGAGTTGCGAAAGCAGTTTAATTTCTAATTCAGCAAATACGTCTCGTTTTGTGTCTGCGTCTCGTGATCCTTCAATTCGACGTAGAAAATTCCAACAAGATTCTGTTTTTCTTGTCGCTGTTGATGACATTCTTTTCAGTTCCATGAGTGTCATCCGATATTGGATTTCTACAGATAATGACACAACATTTTCGAGTAATTGGTTGTTTGTCAGAAATTGGTTTGCATTTTGGCCGCGTGAAGTAATTTTATAAACCTTGTCCTGGATTTTAAAATGTTTCAGATAACAGAAGTATCTAATGGCTCCTTCAAAGAAATCTAAGTATAAGAAGACTTCTCGTGTTAATGTTGTGTCCCCACACAAAGATGAAGAAAATGAGGGCAAAAGCAGACAACGAGTAAGTTTTCTTTCCTCATACTTGGTTGGATGACTTTGGCTTACTTATTTATGTAGGAATATTTGTCTTCATTTTGACGAGCCTTGTTGTGCTTGGCATGGGATTTGTTCCTGAAATGTATGTAGTTAAGCTAGAGATTGGATGTCAAAATAGTGATATTAAGGTTTTAGTCATTTCATGTCTAATTTCTTCTGTGTGCAAGCATACATAACTGGTAAAGATATAGTTTTTTCATTTGGAAATTATGATCCAGTACGACCTGGTTTCATGAGATCACAAAAAAACTTGGGGTTGCAAATTCGTTCCATCAAACGATGTTAATGGCTGTTAATTTGGGATGCATACTCACCAGTCACAGCATTTAGTTTAAATTTTATTTCTTTAAATATGGAACATGATGAATATTTCTCCAGTTCAGATTTCTATTATAATAGAGATATGTTTGTACATTCTGGAAACTGTTAAACTTCTTTCTTTTCCTCTCTGTATACAAGTGTTGATTTTGGTAGACTTCTAAATTGATTTCCATTTGAAGAGGCGTCCCATTTTTCAAATCGTGACAAAGAAGTATCCTCAATATTTGTAGCTTATATTTACTACAATGATTTACTGAGTCAAGCTTCTTCGAGAAGAATGCACTGGGCTTTCTTCATGGTCATATGAGTTTGATCTACTAGCATATCTTATATTGCCACTCTTTTTACATGCAGAAGAGAAAATTGTGGGAAATGTTAGGTCCTCAATGGATCAAGGCAGAGTTGGAACTATTTTATGACTCATACCGGAAATTTGGAAAAGACTGGAAGAAGGTTGGTTCTAATATCTAACGTCCATACTCTGCTTGTGTGTGTGTGTGTGTTCGTGTGATTGTGTGATTTGTGGAATAGTTAGTCACACATCATTCGGAATTGAAGTATGATTTACAAACGTAGTATCATAGTTTTAGAATGAGGAGAGTAAGAAGAACAGATCGCTGTCGGGATTACCATATTTGTTAGGGGGTTAGTTATGTTTTTGTTATGGTCGTTATGGTTGCAGAACCTCTATTAATTTTTAGTAATTTCACTTCTATTGTGTATAGGTTGCAGCATTTGTACAGACCCGCTCTGCAGAAATGGTGGAGGCTCTATACACTTTGAACAAGGTTAGCTTGCCCCCATTCTTACTGAATGTATTTCTGGTTTTCTGTCTATTTAGTAAACATCAAGGCATTTTCTCGGCTATATTAAGCTGCCTTCAGTTTTTAGGCCTATTTATCTCTTCCAGAAGGCACTGCCTCTGTGGTTGGACTAATTGCGATGATGAAGGATCATTACTCTGTATTGGTAAGATTTATAAAGCACTTCAGTAGTTAGTTTATTTTTATATTTTTCTCATGGCTGACTTACAAGCATTGTTTAAATTCGAGATGCCACAATTCACTTTGTTTCCATAAAAGAGCTCCTTGTCCTATATCCATTCCTCATGTTTATTGAATATGAAGGGCTAATGATGACGATTATCTAAACCAATCTATTTCTCGTGTAGCATGGAGGAACTGACAGTGAGCAGGAAAGCAATGAAGGCACCAACACACTCAGAAAGGCCCAGAAGCGTGCCAGAGTGAAATCCTCAGATCCTCAAGGGCTTGAGGGTCTCTCTGACCGTCTGCGATTCAGGTCCTCAAGCTGCTTGTCATTGGTGAAGAAGAGACGAAGTGGTAGTGTGCTCTCTCTTTTCTCTCCCACTACGCATACACACACACACACACACACACACACATATGTCTCACCAGTGCACATGCATGATGAGTCTCTGCATGTGAGTGTACACTTTTATGGATATATGATTTTTCATCCTGGCAGAGTCAGCTATGCATAACACTGGCTCCTGAGAATTTGAAACTTAAAATTGTTCTCTGGATGAATATATGAAATGCCACATGGAGGATTTTTAGTTTTCTGTATAGCTTTTTCTTATTCTTAATCTACTTCTCTCTTATTTACAGAGGGATTTTGCTTAATTGTGTAACTAAGAGTTATTTATTGCTAACTGATTTCTATTGGCCCTGTGCAGTTGGGAAAAGGACTCCTCGAATTCCTGTTTCATTTTCCCATGAAAAGGATAACATGGAAAGGTATTTATCACCTGTTAAGAGAGGTCAAAAGCAAAAGGGAGATGATATTGATGATGCCATGGAGCATGAGATAGCCTTAGCACTAGCAGAAACTTTGCAACGGGGTTGTTCCCTCCAGGTTTCCAGGACACCAATCAGAAAAGCAAAGATGTACTACCCGGATAAGAAGGGTGAAAAAATGGTATTTACTTTCTCGTAGCATCCATGTTTACCTGCACTTTTGCACTTTCCTCACGTAGAGCTTAGCTTCTCAGATTTTTACATTGCTGTGGTCATTTGAATAATTCTTTCTATTTGCTACTAGGAACTTCTGATGGAGGGAGATGTTTGTGTGCTTAAGTTGAATATAACTTATATAGAAATATGGACTGATAGATTTTAACATTCAGCATGCAGAAATCGACTCGGCTGAAATGGAAGAGGGTGGCTGTGAACTAAGCTTAGGTAGCGCTGAAGCAGATAATGGCGACTATGCTGGCCCAAGAAATTACTTGATGCATGGAGAAGGTTTTAGTGCCATGGAACTGCAAAAGAAGGGAAAAAGATACTCTAGGCGAGAACTAGATATTGACGAGAGTACTAACAATCAGTCAGATGATGTAAAAGAAGCCTGCAGTGAGACAGAGGAAGGGCAATCCTTAGGCCCTTGGAGGGAGAAATTTGAACCAGAGGGGATGGTTGAGAAGTCTCTGGAATTCACTTATAAAGGTTCAAGGAGTAAAAGTAACAAAGTTCTCTTTACAGCAGGTCTGTCCTAGTTTCTTTCCCTTCTCTTTTTGCATTCAACTGTCTGAAATACTCATCGAACCTGGAGAAAGGAAGTACTTGAAACGTCAATTCTCCTTCTCTAACTATTGCAGTGAAAAAGTTGATGCATGCTAAATTTTATCTATACAATAGAAGTCCAGTTAACCCATTTAGAAACAAGGGTTTGCGTTTGCCCAGTGATTTTTTTTTTTTTCTGACATAAAGGTATGTAGAAAAAGCAACAAATTGATTTTTTGTATAATGTTTTGATGGTTACATTCTAGTCTCTTGAAACTTCTGCTCTATGACAGTTCAAGATTTCTTTATGGGTGGATGAAACTTTTGGGAACAACTACAAGTCTTTTTCTGGTTAAACTAGGAAAAAGATGGTTACTGAAGATAGAATGTTAACTCGATTAGTTCATCTTGAGGCTAAAAGGGTATTCTGCATTATGCCTATGTTATACAGTGACAACTTAAACGGTACTTTATGCGCGTTTGTGATTTGAATGGGATGATTAAATGTACTTGCAGTGATGATTAATGGTGCTGTTTGCATGTATGGATGGTATTGTTGCCAAGGCGTTCTTTCTTAGTTTTCATATGATGACTATCTTTTCTTCAGATGAAGGCTCTGCATGTGATGCTCTCCAGACGCTGGCAGATTTGTCGCTGATGATGCCTGATGCTGCTACAGATACTGGTAAGATATGTTTGACCTGGCGCTGTACATTTGGTTGGGTGTCTGAAATCATGACAAAAATGTAATATTATAGAGTTACTTTTTGTTTCCCCCATTTAAGTGGTTGTAGTTTGTCTTTGCTTTTCATGAATCAATCTGGGAACGTGAATGGATAGGTATGCTAGGTACTTGGAAATTTTCTGAAATGGAAATGTAAATCAGGCATCAACAAAAAGATCTAAATTTAATGGCAGAGTCAAAGCTAGACACCACAAAGTTATACATCTTTGTCTAAGTTTCCTCATATTTCCCCCTATTTGAAGCTCCCTTTTGGTTCTTCCTTCAAAGTAGCCAAACACCACAGAGATGAATAAAAGCAGTAATCATTTGAACTTTTTTGATCTGTAAGACCTGACAAACACAGTTGACGTTCAAACTGCTATCGTTTGCATTTTTTTTTAACCATCAATTATCAGCTGAAAGAATTATCTTTGAGCAGATGTGCCAGTTATATTCAGAGTCCATTTTACATTCATTGATATTCATGCTTGTTTATCTATTGGCTTGTCAACTATGATCAGAATTGCAGTTTGATGTGTCAGAGTCCCCTGTTCAAGTGAAGGAAGAAAGAGCTGGAAAAACTGATGGCTCCGATTTAAAAGGGAGTGGTCCAGCACCTGGGTCTAAAATTGGTTCTCTCAAGACCTCCTCCAAGCAGAGAAAATCCATCAGTGATGATCTTAGTAATACTGAGGCAGATAGAAAAAGTCCAGGTAGTACTGTTATGCGAAAGAGAAGGCCGAAATCATCAAAAGTAAGAGAAACTGTATTTTTAATGGTCAGTGTTGTTCTTACTGGTTTTTAGTCAGATATCATTACTACGTGGAAGCTATTTTCTTTTCCTAGGTTCCTAAAGATGAAGCTCCATCTAACTCACAATTTGCAGAAGCTCCGAGTAGCAAGGTGCATAATTTGTATTGCCTTTCAAAATATTCTAGATATTAAAAGTGCCCTCAGGTACTTATCCACATGATTATTTTTAAATTTTCGTAAATGTACTGCATTTGTTTGGCAACCAAATTAGTCAAACATTTCAGATTATTATGGCACCTTTCCTTTTCCTTTTCAGTAACGGATATTCTTAAGTTTGGAGAGATTGGGCTATAGTGTTGTCCTCATCATCTTTCTTTTTCTTCATGGAATTTCTTTTCTAGCTTTTATGTTTACCGTGGCTGTAATGTTGTAGGGAATAAATGAAGGGACGAAGCATGTTGGTAGAGGCAAACACTCAGCAAAAATTCCCAACTCACACAAAAAAAAGTCAGTCAAACATCATGGTCATACTTCTGCAAGCAATGACATAGTAGAAGGCGATGGCGATGGGTCAGCTCTACCAACTGCAAGAGTCAACAAAAAACAAGTCAATTTAACAACTAAAGTTAGAAGCAGGAGAGAGGCAAAAACTGAAAATCTTCTAGCAAATGAAGATGGAAAGAGTTCTGAGATTCTAGTGAGTGGATTAATTGATACTCAGATTCAATCACTGAATGATAAATCCCTTAATCTTAAGGCGCCATTAATCTATGATTTACAGAACAGCAAGCAGTTTAGTTTGTTGGATTGGCTGGCTATGTGTTGTAACCTACGATTTTTGTTTGCAGGAGAAGCTTTCACATTGCTTATCTAATTACCGTGCCCGAAGATGGTGTGTTTTTGAGTGGTTCTACAGTGCAATTGACTACCCTTGGTTTGCCAGACAAGAATTTATGGAGTACTTGGATCACGTAGGGCTTGGTCATGTTCCAAGATTAACTCGTGTTGAATGGGGTGTCATAAGGAGGTCATCACCACTTGAATGCTGCTATATTTCCTTCTTTTGCTGCTGTTTGTGTCCTGCTTATTCATACTTTGTTAGTGCAGTTCCCTTGGCAAACCACGTCGATTTTCTGAACAGTTTCTGAAGGAGGAAAAAGAAAAGCTATACCTGTATAGGGGCTCCGTAAGGAAACATTATGATGAACTTAATGCTGGGGTGAGGCAAGGACTTCCAACGGATTTGGCTCGACCCTTAAAGGTTGGACAAAGAGTCATTAATCTGTACCCGAGGACAAGAGAGATTCATGATGGCAGTGTGCTAACTGTTGATCACGGTAGGTACAGAGTTCAGTTTGACCACCCTGAACTAGGGGTGGAGTTTGTCAAGGTAAGGTTTTTTTCTGAAACTGCAACTTTGTGTGGCATCTTAAGGAAATGCATAATGGTAAATCATAGATTTCGTATTTCTTTTGGTTAGCAAGTCAAAGATTGTACAGTGATAATTAGAATCACCATACCAGTTCCAACAAAAATGACTGTGCCACTTAATGGACTATTAATTCTTTTCTATTTTTTTGTGGCTGTCATTAAGTTGGCTATAAGAAACAATCTGGGATACGGATATTATCACTTGAGTTGGAATGATCTTGGATATTGGTGACTTTTAGATAACATGTAATCAGCTTCTTTGATGTAGGATACTGAATGCATGCCATTGAATCCTCTACAAAACATGCCAGCATCACTTGCAAGGCAATATGTCTCATTGAATCATCACATTGAGAATCACAGTGCGCTCAAAATGCATGAGCAGGAAAAGGAAAACACGCCAGAAGAATATCTCAAACTTTCATATGAGACATTGGAGAACTCCAGTGGGCCTCACTTATCCCTAACAAATTATTATAGCAGTAGTAACTCACTGAAGCAACAAAAGGTTGGTTTTCCAAACAACCTTGAAGCCTAATGTTTTGGCATTTTAATTGATATATTCTTCAGCGAATTTTATCATAGTTGTACTGTTAATTTAGCTTTAATTTGTTTTCTGGAACTTGAGACTTTCTTTGTGTACCTTGACTTCGCAAAGTTGCATTGGTTTAGATATGGAAAAAAAATAAAGATGCATGGGTTTCTGTAGAAACCAGCTACCCTGGGAAGTTCTTGAAGGCTGAGAATTTATCAACTGTGATTTCATCCATGGAGTTTCTCTTCCTGCAGCATCCAGCTACCCTGGGAAGTTCCTTAGAAACTGAATACTAAGTCAAACCTGTTTTCAACCGTATGTCATTCGACTTGAATATTTCATTAGTTTCAAGCTGAGAGTAGTGTTATTCTTCATTTTTGGTACAGTTTCATTTGCTTTCTCTGAAGATGCACCTGTTTTGTTCTTGACCATGGTCAACTCATGGTCAGTTATTTCAGATTCTAGAGAGATTTACTTTGATGATACTTGAGTTAGTCATATTTTACAGGCCGATATATCAAGTTCAAATTCACAAGACCAAGTTGTAATGGATGAGGCTATTCAATCACAGTTGATAAATTCTCAGCCTTCAAGGACTGCACAGATTCAGGCAAGAGAAGCTGATGTCCAAGCTCTTTCTGAATTCACTCGTACACTTGACAAGAAGGTGCGCCAATTATTCTGTCGGTTTCTACATCTGTTATTTTTTTCTTTATATAGTTCACTTCTTCACTTCTTTTACCTGCGTTTTGATTGGTCTATTCTTCCCCCCTCAATTTTTCATGATGTTGCTTCAATCTTGTCAAGAATATCTTTCTCTGCTGTCTATTCACCATATTAGTAGAGACTACTCCGAGATGTGATTGTTAAAAAATATCAAATTCTCAACAGTTATTAGGAAACATGTAATAATAGTTTTTTTTTAATCAAATGTGTTGAAGGGCACCTAAAAAATGTTTTGGGGGTTTAATACGTTACTATATGGTAAAAGTTCCATGTGACTGTCTCATCTGTTTGTGACAATCATTGATTTTCTTCTGTCTCGTACAGCATTTTTCATCTATGAAACAACTAATTTATATTCTATGAAGCTGCAGGAGCTAGTTTTGTCCGCGTTGCAGTGCATGAACAATGAGATTGTGGAAAGTAAAAAAGATGGGAACAAAGCTCTTAAGGATTCTGAATCTTTCAAGAAACAATATGCTGCAATTCTCTTTCAGCTTAGTGAAATCAACGAGCAGGCATGAGTTTGGGAAATATTTATTATAAGGCATCTTTCTTTAGTACAGGTAATTTCTGTATGGCATTTTGACATACTTTTTTCAATTTGCAGGTTTCACTGGCTCTTCTTCGTTTGAGGCAACGAAACACTTTCCAGGCTAGCTCGTCATATATGCCATTCAGATGCATGAGCAGCTTAGGGGATCCCAATGGTCACTTTACCTGTGTAGGCTATGCTGTTTCTGACACCGACGACCATGGACCCCATGTGTCTAAGATTGTCGAAAATTCAAGAACAGTAGCACGGAATATGGTTGATAGAGCTATGGAGGTATGTATAGTTGCACTGATCTATCTTAAGAATGTAAGAGCATGTGTTTATTACAAAGTCCATGATTTGACAACTTTTTATGAATGAGCAGTTTTATTGCGAGTCTAAAGATCTAACACGCAGTGTTAACCTTGACCTTTTTGGCACTGTATTTTTTGCAAGCTATAACATCATTAAAGAAAGAGCAAAATAATATTGTAAATATTGATGAGGCGATTGATTTTGTTAATAATCAGCTCTCTGAGGATTGCGGGCAAGCACCTGTTCAGCAAACTCAAGTTGCCTCAGCTCCAAATCTGCCAACTGTAAGCCATGTCATTGATTCTCACTCAAATGAGTCAAATCTGCTCAACCGAAATGACACGCAAATTCGCTCCGAACTTGTCTCCTGCTGTATTGCTACTTTGCTCATGATTCAGGTGCAAATCTCATATTTATTCAAGATTCTTCCCCCACTTAAAACCATCAATGCATATACGCACAATCTTTGCTATACAATTGTAACTATCTAAGCTTGTTTTCCCGAATTTACTAACCAGAAATAGGGTTAGAGATTAAGTTGTAGGTTTTCCTATAGAGACCTTTTCCCAGTTGGGGTCCTTAGATATTCAGTCATTCCACATTACAGCGAATCAGAATCATATATTTAGGGCTCTGATTTCTGTCTGTTGAGGTTGCATGACAATCTTGTTTCTGAGTTTGACATTTATTTCATTAAATCCTAATGCGAGAAGAACCTTTAATAAAATTCTGCAGAAATGTACAGAGCGGCAATTCCCGCCCAGCGAAGTAGCGCAGGTTCTAGACTCGGCAGTGGCAAGTCTACAACCGAGTTGTTCACAGAACCTTCCGATTTATGCAGAGATACAGAAGTGCATGGGAATCATCAGAAACCAGATACTAGCCCTCGTTCCCTCGTAAGTATTACAAGAAACCAACTCTTTGATTTATCTTGTAAAATCACATGTTTTCTTATTAGCAATTTCTTTCAATTATTCGTCGGATTGAAACCACGGCTTCTTCCTCAATTCCAGTGTTGCTTTCCCGACGAGTTGTTAGATGGAAATGTATGTATACATTGAGTGAAAAACGTTTTCCATAAGATGTTCTTTGCGGACATCTCTTTACAGATGTCTCATCAGATGCGTTTGTGCCCTTTTGATTTCATTGCAACATTTGTCCATTTCCGGATAATGAAGAACTTGAGGATGGTGTAGAGATTGTCATGATTTTTTGGTGATTTCTTTGTTCGGTTCTGTGCTGGGTCTTAGGGCTGGACATTTATACCCGTTACCCGCGGGTTTGCGGATACCCGATCTCGTGGATATTCGAAAAACGGGTACTCGCCTCTGGTCGAATGAAGACGAAGACGAGTACATAAAAATGACATAAAGACGGATACAAGTTTCATTTTTACGAAGATGGGTATCCACAGATACCCGTAAATATATAAAAATATCAGATATTTCTATATTTTTTTAATTATTTATTTAAATATTAGGTTTTAACTTTTAAAAATTAACATATATATTTAAAAAACTTTTAAAAATCTACATATATTCAAAGATATATATATTTTTTATATTTTAAATATATTTTTGAATTAAATAATATAATTTTACTAAATATTTGGTTTATATTTATTTAAAAATATATATATTTTACGGGTATGGTACCCATCTCTTAATCACGGGTATTTGGTCGACGGGTATCTCGTGTTAATGAGATAGAGAATGAGACATTGTTTTCATGAAATCCGCGAAGACGAAAACGAAGACGGGTATCTCCAAAATCGCGGGTATCTGACCCGTGCCTCGCCCTACTGGGTCTATACACATTCAAGAACAACATATTGCTGTAAAACACAATCTAGAGACAGCAAGTGCAGCAGAGTTATTCTGGAATAAAAACTATAAGTTTGTGAAATGATGAAAAATCATTTATTTACAAACACACACACACATATATATATATATATCATTACAACCGCAGCCATTTTGTTAGAAACATTAAAAATAAGTTTGTGAAATGATGAAAAATCATTTATTTACAAACACTGAACTAAGTTTCAGAAGAAAAAAAAGAGACATAAGCCCTGAAACTAATTTCATTATCTCAAATCCATACTGATGGATTACAAACCTACTCAACAATTGAATCCATATGAGTTCAACTGCCTATGATATTTTAGAATATAAGACTGTTGTTGTATTAAGAAGGAACAAAATTTTCTCTGCAAAACAATCAACCAAAAACTCTGTGAGACGTCTTTTAAGAAAAAAGGTTTAACAAGAATGAAAAATGAATCAGTTACAGAGCTCGAGAGAAACTGAACATGCTCCTCATTTTTATTGTAAGAAGACAAAGTTTCGAAGGCTCTTCAGTTCATTCGTTCGGATGAAAACGATGAAGAATACATATCGAATTCATATCCAAATTAACGATGATAAAGATAGGAAAAAGATGTGCAGGGGAACAGCTTCCACATATCTTTAGCTATCCACTTTAGGGGCGAAATAAGGAAAGAAATCAAGAGCTTAAATCCAGAGATGAGTTTGTAATAGTTAACTTACCAAATGGTCAAGAACTTCTACGAGGGAGTACTCTTCAATCCACTGAGCTATCTGACGAAAAAGGAAGAGATAAAAAAGAATACCAGTGTACTTCAAGAAGAATAAGGTCACTACCTCCAAACATTCATGAAAGGGAAAATGTAAATCAATGCATAATATGATTATAGAATGATTCTTTAAAAGTATCAAGTAGTTAAACATTTTCTCCGTCAACCGCCACTCCACATAATAGGATGCAAAAATAAGGGGCATTATACATACCTGAAAAGCCGATCGATCTCTCTAAATCAAGTGCAAAATAATCTGAACGTGATGTTGGACGACTCAGGGGAGTCCCCTCAAACTGCAATTTTCTATTCCAACAAATAGTTTGAACAAAACATTAACAAGATTAGAGGGGTAGAGCAAATTGTTTGATTTCTAGAAAACCTCTAAATGACCACCTACTACTCTTCTATATGTATTCTGTTTGAAGAAAACCAGAATGACTAGTAAGACCTAATGTCCCTCTCTCCCCAAGTATTCCTTTCCTAGTCTGATCAAGGGTAACGAGACTCAAAAACAAGTAATGGAATATGCTAACAAATAGAAGTTTTCTATGGATGTACAGGGAAGCCAAAGAAAATCTAGGTCACCACCTTCTGTATTGCACACTTCTCCTCAACATGCTCTTCTTCGCCTTAAACCAGAGCAGAGAGAAATTACAGGTCTAGTCTATGCGGACAAAAAGAGTCAATATTTGACGCCACAAAAAGTCGAATGACTTAGAGCATCCATTGCCAGCTCAACCTGCCGTATAAGCGATTCCACATTGTGGAAGCTACAATTGACTACTCTCTTAATGAGAGAAACACTGTCTCTAAACTCTGATTTCTCTAAGCTGACAGTGGCAGCTCTAAAAGCATTCTGTGATTTTGCGGAGGCTTCCATTGCCAAATTCATGTCCTCTACCTGTAATAGAGCACAACCAGATAAGTTTTTTTTTTTGGTTCTGAACCTCAAAAAGCAATGTAAGTATGGGCCTCTGGTCCAAATTTTCAAATAGAGGCATCGTTGAGAGACAAATTTCAGTAAAAATAATCCGAGAAATCATCAATGCAAAAGAATAGTGATGACGTGAAAATAAACATAGCCAAACATCTTCAGGAAGAAAAATCTCATCATAAATATATAATCCAGTTGTAACATGCCACCACTTGATGAAATTGGACTGACTTACAAAGTCCAGTAGCTGAACAAAATTTTGCTGGCTTCTAGCTACACCGAGATGGTTTCCAGCAATATGAGGAAGACCTCCCTTAGTAAAAGAAGACTTATCCACCATGCCTTGTCCTTGGTGATTAAGATTATCGATATCTGATGCAGAAGAAGATGGTGATTCACCTGAGGAAAAAATAAAACAGGATATCAAACAACAAATTGCGTGCAGAAACTAATCACAAGCCTGTCTCTCTCTCTAGTTCTTGTTCAGACATCACAGGACTTCTTATACACTGATCTTGCTGGTAAACCATCAAGAAAGCCAAGTGATATGAAAAGGTTGGACATATCTAACATTCACAGAAACAGTAATACATGGTAGTCGGCTAAAAGAAAAACTTCAAAACAGTGACCACAGAATGAAAGATACTTGAAAATTCAGAGAATAAGATATGATATTGCAACAGAGATGCGTATCTCTCCATAATCTTTGACTCAAGAGAGAACCACGTCAAACAGTGAAAAACTATGGTTCTGTGGTCGCTAAAACTAAATCATGTCTAGAAAAAATCACATTGCTAAGCATACGAATTACCTTTTGGAGACGTCTGCAGCATTTTTTGAAGTGAATTCCAGTCTCTACTTGCACCAAGACTTCTACCATATGTTAACCTCATGCATGCCACTTCCGTGCATTTATAGGCCAGAGCAGCTGCAGCCATTTCTTGGTTTGTTTCATATTCTAAAGCACAGCTTCTGTAACAAGTAACCAGAATGTTCAGTCATCAACAGAATCCATAAAACTAAAGAGATAAACCCACTGTAACACAGAGTCATACTAGATTCCTGGTATGGTACCCTCCAGTGTCCAAACTAATATGAAGATAGCAAGCTCAAACATTCACTCACTCAGAAAGTTTTGCAGCAATACGGTAAGCTTCAACATGATCCATCTTCTCATTCAAAACGTTCTCGCCACTGTGCACTTCTAGAAGAGAAGCTCCGTAGAGAAACTTCAAGGATGCTTTAAAGTTGGCCTCTTTATGCCCACGCTCAAAGCCAGAGCTCTAAATTCAATTAAGTAGAAAGATATCCTCGTTAAGAACCAAGATACACTGAGCAGGAAAAACTAGAATGTTCAGACAACAATTAAAAGATGAAGTAAAAGAAAACCCAACCTTCAAACAGTCAGCAAGCTTTCTAAGCTTTTTGGCCTCTATAAGAATATCTTTTGCAACCTGACAGGAGCTATCCATACTCCCATGAGTTAAGGCACTGACTTTCGTTATTGCAGCGTTATTTTTTAGGATATTGTCCTGAGACACTGCTGACTGTAGATGATCAGCTTTGGTTTCAGAAGGATATTCCTGTAATTGATTCTGCCTGGATGTAGTATTCCTATTTGTGTAAGATAGGCCACCAAACTTTGAGTTCTGATCACATAGTTCAAGTTTTGATTGTTTATAATTGCTGGAATGAGTTCTGGTCTCGAACTCGCAATCACCTTCTGGATATGTTCTCTTGTTAATAATTCTACTCCCAGCATCACCGCGGTGCAGATTTTGAGATATGCTATCTCCAGCTGATGCAAGATCTTTCGTGCAGGAAGATCTTTTAGGAGATGAGGAAATCAATTCCTCTGGCGATGCTTTTACTCCCTTTGCATAAGCCCTCCCGCTTTTATGTGATCCTAAAACCTTTGAAGAGCTTAAAGTTGCTGTCCCAGAAACTTGTCCCCTTCCATCCTTGTATTCCACCAATTTTTTCCTCTTTGCGGGAGCAATGGTTTTATCATAAGCTTTTGCAGCGAAGGGGCCAGCACCAGTTGTGGATTGAGATTGATGGTCAAGTTTCTCTTTAGATGCAAGTGCTTTCTTTTCTGTGTCTCGCTCTAAGTCCATAGCTGGAAAACCATTGTCAGAAGGCTTTGTGCTTCTCTCAGCAGTATTCCTTTTCAGATTTAATATCCAAGGTGTTTCTACTGATTTAATCTTCTTCGCTAGTGCGTTTCCGTCATGGTCCTTGGTTTTCTTGGAATTTTCACCATCTTCTTGATCATTCTCCTGCTTCGTTTCGGCACGTACCTGACAGGCAGTACCTAAAGATACATAATACAAGGCATAAAATATAGTGATCAAAGGAAAGCTCGAGTCCATAAAAAATGTATAGTAGCTGTAAAACACAGAATCTACCTGCTCGCAGGCGCTTTGCTTTTTGGGCAGTCACATACTTTTCCTTATCAACATCACCTGACATACCAATTTCATGGGCTTTGGATATCCGTCCAGCACTGTGGTTCTCTACAGTGTTTATTTGACCAGGAACCTGTAAGTTACTTCTCCTAGAGCTCGCTGCCTCAACCCGGGTAATGACTAGACCTCCTTTAGGTAAGTCTTTCCCTGTGGATTTCTTCTTTGTTCTATTAAGCAATAAACTTGAAGTGAGAGGTTGATGGCTTTGATCAACTCGACCAGCATTAGAGACAAATTTGGTAACACCATTCTCCAAATTATGCGTCCCAGAACCAGAAATTTGGTTTAATGATATAACAGCAGATGTTGTCTCTTCCTGGCTTACCTCACAGCGGTTCATATTAGGCCTACACATGAATTTTTGGGGTAAAATAGTGAGCAACAAGAAAATCTGATGAAAGAAATCCCCTCCCCAAGGGGAAAAACCAAAAAAAAAAAAGAAGTATTAAGGGCTCTGCACAAGGTTGAACGATTGGGTCAAGAGCAAGGTTATCAAAGCAATAATTCAATAATAATAGTAATCGAAACCTTAATAGTTCGATTCAGGCCCTCAAAGGACTAGACCTTAACATGGTTCTAAATGTTTCTCCGATAAAGAATTACAGAGACTTACAGCCAAATTTGCATGCAACATAACCACTTATCAGGCAGCTGTTCGGGTTTCATCCCAAATGGTAGCAACCTCCACGTCTCACAACTATCACACTGAACCCAATTATCAAGTTGAAGACTGGTTGAAGGAGGTGCAGCCTCAGAACCAAGACCAATATCCATATTATTCTGACCAATATACGCATTGTCCTCCAAAGTTGCCCCAAATAACAGTTTAGCACCAAATCTGTTAGTGCAAATGTTTTCTTTTGACTTTGTTGAAGATGCCCTTTTTAACTCCTCCGAGCTGACCAGAAATGGATCCTCTAGCCGTCCACCAGAAACAATAATTTTATTTGATTTCTTAAGTACGACTTCAAGTGCAATTTCTCCATCCTTATAAATGTCCTTCTGCAACTTATGTTTGAAGGTAGAAGAATCATTAACCCCACCTAAACCACAAGTCAACTTCTTCCTAGCTCTCTGATCAACGGGAATTTCTTTTTGCTTCTTTATCTCTTCAAGCGATGGACTTTCCTTGCAAGTAGTAGCATCAACAAAGCCTACTACACGCTTTTTCTTCCCACTCAGAGTTCTCTCATTACCTAAAACATCAGAAGACATGTTTGGTGACAGAACAGGAAGTTCCTTTCGAACCTTAACCACAAGTTCATTGTCTGCAACAGTATTTTGTTTTGGCTTTTCCATTGCATGAAGCAGAATATCAGGAAGTGGTGACATCAGTAGACCCTCTGGGACAGGAACTGATGTCATTTCCTGTTTCGAGGAGTTACATATAAAATACATATCAAGATTCAGCCACTGATCCACAAAAGGAAGAAAATAAGTAAAGAAAAATGAGATGATCTACCCGAAGAATGCTTGAAGGAGATTCATTAGGTGTATCTAGAGATGAATACGGCATGCAGCTATCATTATGACTGTTTTCTGGGGGTAAATCTGGAGAATCAACAAGACCAGGACCTCTATGCACCACTGCAACTTTCCGGGACAAGATTTTAGAACCAATTTTGATCCGCACCCTAATAGGCTTATTATCAGATGCATCATTGACTCTCATTATTGCATTTCCTTTCTTCATGGAAACATTCCCAGAAGTTTGAATTGAAGAGGAACCTGAATCTCGCTTGTTCAAAACACCAACTTTGATGTCAACAATGCAATAATAAATAACAAAACACACAAGGTCATGCGGTAGCATTCAGAACTCAGAAGGCTGAATTTCTATAGAATATCAGTTAACCATATAAACGAAAACGTATATAAACTTAGACACATAACAAACAAACCTGTAATTTTGTTCACATGTTAGTGGATCACGTCTACAATTGTATTCTAACTTATGATGCAAAGGAGCATGACAGGATATGATTCTCTGGCTTCGACTAAGAGTAAATGGAACAAGCAAGACCAACTGTAACTGAAAATCTTACAGAAGCTATATCTATCTGAAACTATAAGCAAAATCTTACTTAGCCCTAACTGAAGCACAGTGAATATTTACTTTATGATCATACTATTGCAGCAAAATCTCGATGAATACATACTTTAAAGTCATTAATATTGCAAGAACTAAAACCCTTTTCTTTTTTAAAAAATACTACAAGCTCAAACAAACCATATCGAAACTTAGGAACTAAGCATTGGCATCCAAAGAACTCGGGTTATATGGGATCAATGTAGCATTGCCCTTGCACCAACGCTTGCATATAAACATATATCAAACTGTTAAGAGATTAAAAAAAATTCTAACGAGGCCCTACCAAGTAAGCCAGATCGTTTAAAGGATCAAAGCCTTGACAGGTAGAAGAGCATGCCTCTCCTTTAAGTTCAGAATCGTCCTCCACTTCTACAACCACAGAGAAATCCCAATCATAACCCTAAAAACCTCAAATGTAAGCCTAGAAACAATCCTAAATCACAGAGTAACCGTGACAGTAACCAACCTTCCCGAAAATCCAGCATCGTCCGGAAATCCCTTCAAACCTGCAAGTATTGATTCCGAAGCATCGAAATCTTGGAATGAAAATCCAAAGAACCGTCTTTCAAACCGTAAACACGAAACTAATCGATTAATCCTGTCTTTCTCCTGGAACCCACGACCAAGTTCGGCGATCAGACACAAGGTAACAGAAGAATGATCGATAACCCGGCGAGAGTTGAGACCGAGTCAGACCGAGTAGAGGGTAGTGGCGGGGGGGG